AAGTTGTACAGTCGAGCTATACTAGTCGTTACTAGTCGTACACAAGCTGCACCAGCCGCGGCAAGACGTCCAAGAAGCCGCACCGACACGCTTCAAAGAGCGGGCTCTATGCAAACTGTACCATCCTTATATTCGAGACGAAGACCTACGTGGCGGGGTGCTTCGGGCAAGGTGCCGGCCTCCATTAGCTCGATGGTGCACTCGGCGTGACCATGCGTGGTGGCCACGAGCAGTGGCGTTCGCTGACGCTACGAAGCTACACAGGAGTAGCGCCGGAAGAATGATCAACCGCCTTTGCTACAGTCCACGTTGCGTGCATCAAGGTTGCAGCAGAGCGAGACAAGGCGTCGCACGCCGGCGATGATGACCCGCAACCGCTGCTACAGTCTGTATATGCAGCGCCGAGTTCCCAGCCTTGACCACCAGAGTGTAAGCAAGGCCAGCAGACGAGGGGGATGGCTTGTGATAGGCTGATAGGCTGGAAAAGGATTGTCCTTTGTACAATCCACCAACATTCACCCTGGATAAAATGGCTCAATGGACTCAAAATGGCGCGCTTTTTGCATGTTGAGCAGAGTTATGATGCATTTCAATTTTCAATCGGTGTTGGGATATCGATTAACACTATCTTATGTGTGGCTCACACTATTCACGCCCATTTGGCATTCGCCTTTCCTGTCGCACCGTGCCTGACTTTGCAGTCGTGGCGATGGCAACCTTTGTCGACGTTGTGCTGCGCCAGAGTGAAATCGCGTCGATGGTTTTTGAGTTTCAGTTTGGCGTCTACGAAGACGTCCTGTCCCGCTTTGTGGCCTTTCACCACCTCGTCGACTTTCTCCCGACGCAAGGTGCGAACAACGGCCTCTACGTTCTGGACCCGGCCTTCCACACGCCACTGCGAGCAGAGCCCGACACAGCCGATCCAAAATGGCTGCGCACCGAAGAGCTCTGGCTCAACAACCTCAACACGCGCGACGAGCGCTTCCCGCTGCACCTCGCGATTGCCGAAGGCGATCTCGAGGCCAGCACGCGCATCTTACGCTGTCGCAAAGACCTCGCATTTCAAGACGTCTTTGCGGTGGCTGCGATCTACGGTCATTGCGACATCCTCTCGCATCTCTTGGAGCTCCGAACCCATTCGAACAATATCCTAGCCTACAAGTACGAAGATGGCTACTATCGCCGGCGGCCCAAGAGCCTCGACACGTGGCTACCACGCCACGTGCTCGCAAAGGACAATGCGATCGTCTTGCGTCTGCTCTGGGAC